ATTGTGAGTAAGTCTTATTTATTTCCTTTATACCTATTTTACCTATATATTTTTCACTTACCTACGTAGAACTGAAGAATATATCTAATATTTCAATGTGATCAGTCAAATAATTGATAAATACACCGAGGCAATTCGAGTATTATGACAATTTATCCGGTTAACTGCCTGTTTAAACACTCAGAAATTCGACACTTCAACTATCAGCGATAACCTGCCAATAAACGGAAGTCTTTCGAGCTGTACACAGTTATCTCTTTGAAGGTGGACAATACTACTTACAGAATTAGTTTATCAGTAAAATTGTAAGAATGTGATAAGAGTGTGGCGAAAATGCAACGCTGGGCATGAATGGGTTAATATGGGTAAGGCTAGGCGCATAGACATCGAATTTGGACGGTCGATAAAAGTTCGACCGAACTTTTGTCGATGATGCTTCGCGCACTGCACATATTTTCGATGAGTTTTTTATCCCAAGTTTGTTAGGTGGAGTACACAAAATCACAATGAGCAACACAGAACCACGTAGGAACACGGAGCGAGGTACCTTGAGCAGTGTCAAAAAAACGCAACTGGTCCTCTGGTCGGTCGATAAAAATCGATGTGTGTGCGCGCGTTCATTTGATACTATACGCCTTTGGAACGACGGCAACGACCACGGCAGCCGTGAATGCAGTGATCGATAGATTCGATTCATCGATCGCCACACGACATCGATGCCGTGCCGTTTGGCGATCGATGTGTGTGCCCGCTCACATTTGTTTCTTCGCGCCACCAAAGGAATTTGTTCGATCGAACTTATATCGACCGTCCAAATTCGATGTGTGTCACTAACTAGGTCCTAGGTAACTAGGTGCCGAGACATTTTCGACGCAATTGGTATCATTTAACATAATTAAAGCTACTTCTTTAAATTTTACATTTTACCATCTGTTTTTTTTTTCAGGACTATACTTGAATTTTTCCATGGAACTGTATGTTCATTATCCCATGCATGTTTACATATTTGAGATCTATAAAATTATCTATTTTTGATATAAATTTGACAACGTGTTTACAACGTGTTCGTTGTTTTGAATGTTGTTGAAATGTTGAATTTATTTCCTAACGAATTAAGTTTTTATGAAAAACTAAAACACTATTTATGATATAACAAAATTTTTAGTAGAATTTTATAATTCTAAAATTCTGCTAGAGGCACTTATTTAAAATGTAGGTATCAAAATGAAAGAACAAAGAAGCTTTTAAATAGTTTAAAGATTAGGATGTGCAATTGTGTGCAAGATTTGTATCTTGGTCTGTACAGCTCGAAACGATACGCTTAGCTTTTAACTTCTTGATTTACTATCATATAAAATCCGTTTAAACAATATTCAGAGTAAAATTATTTCAGTTTTGAAGATGATTTATACATTTTGTAAACGTTACTTACATTGAAGCGTTAATTTGCGTTCCTTGCGCCTAAAAATAGACGACTGTCAATTATTGTAAACGATTTTAGAGATAGATGTTGGTTTGTTTTTAGTGGGAATTAAATATATGATGCGTTTGACGTTTCGATGGATATTCTTTTTTATGAAATATATATGGGGTAATTCTTAACACTCACATTTTACTTTACGTTTTATTTATTTTTAATTATAAATTTTTACTTCTAGAAAAGCCTTTTTTAGTGCACAAGGCAAATTGAAGTGCAATGCAGTTATTACCGTATTTTTGACAGATGCATAAAGTTGACATGTTTGGAAAAATGATGCATATAAAGAAAAACGATTTTCGGCCTGTCAGTAAACATATGAATATGCCTACTTAAACGACGAAGAGAACAAAACAAAAGATGTACTAATGCTCTTTCAGACCATCATCATCATTTTGGCTTTACAACTCTGTGTGGGTCCTAGCCTCCCCAAGAATTTTTTTCCAGTCTCTTTCAGACCACACTGTCAAATTTTTGTTCCATGAATTTCGTTTGTCCAACCAACCCATACCTACATTGGATGAACCACATACTGTACGGCCTTTCGATCTAGTTACACCGGAAAATGTGACGAGTCCAGAACATGGTTTTAGCAAATCGTAAAAGTGAAGATGTGTGAATTGGCCATTGTGCGGAGCCACAAAAAATTAGTAAAGTGCGCACTAGTCATATTTTGAAGAAAATTTTGAATATCAAAAATTATCCTTGACGTGTTCATATGATCAAAACGTGATCATATAACCACTTGGCATTGTTTGGATATAAAGCGCAATCCGTCGGACCTTTGGCGTCGATATCTGTATGAACTACCATACACCAAAGAACAGAATGAACATTTGACAGTTAACTAAAGCCGGTAAAAGTGCTCCGAAGCACTCCAGAGTGGCTCAATCAGTTGGAAAGGTTATGGCCACTATATTTTGAGATTGCAAAGGCATAATTTTAATTGTCTATTTTGAACAATGTTCAATATTATTGTGCATTATTGGAAAAACTGAAGTAAGAACTCAGTGAGAAACAGCCTTATATGCAGAAGAAAATTATGTTGTTTCTCCAAGATCAACGGTTCATAAGAGCCTTGTCAAAAAATTATGAGTTTGCCTTCGAATTGGTTTTATATTCGGCTTAGTCTCATGGACCTCTCCAATTATTATGTGTTCTCAAATCTGAAGAGATGCCTCGCAAATAAAAAATCAGCTCGAACGGAGAGATAATTGTTACCAGTATAATCTAAGCAATTCTGGTTGCCTGGTAAAACTCTTGTAAGTCTTTTTTATACGATGGTATACAGCTAACCTCTGGGATTTTCTCCCTTATTAAATAATAATTAACTTATACTAGAATAGAGATTCATTATTGGTGTGCTGTTTTGAAAAGTACTTACTATAATTTGTTAGGAGAAGTTTACGAACCAAATTACTGCTTACCTGCAAAGAAGAAAATTAAATTTTAATTACATTTGTTTTAAATTATACATACAAAGCAAAATATATAGGTATATAAAAAAATCATATCTATTTTTGTTGTAAATATACTTAGTAGTGTTGCAATGAATTCATTTCTTTCGGTTTTGACAAATATTAAATATTGTAAAAGGAATTTAAATTTTTAAAATCTTAAAATGAAGTTTTTGTTACAATTAAAAAGCCTCTACAAAAATATATTAGTTTTCACTCCTGACTACTGAAAACAATATTCTATTAAGGTCTCTGCCCATTACACCGTGTCATACTATGACCATACTAGGACCGTATCAGACAAAAAAATATTCTTTGCGTTGTAGAGTATGGGATCATACCCACTAGAGCGTTCCGTCACCGACCAACACCGTCGCGTGCCATGCACGTATCGTCAAGAATTGTCGGCGAGAATATTTTGTTGGTGCCGATCCGCTACGTGCATGGCACGAAACGTTGTCAAACCGGTGTACGCAGGCAGCGAAACGGAGAGTATACGGGTTACAACAGCGTATGATGACCGTAGTAAACCCGTATCATGACCAATACGTAAACGTGATGCGTCTGTCTTACTAACTCAGTTCAACGAGACGTGTGTAGGCGATAGCATGGAAGACGAAAAATTGAAGTTGTTCGGAAATACGAATTTATATATAATTTAAAGCATCCGAAATATATGGATAGTGTCAAAAAAGACATTGTTTGAAAGGAAATTGGAGAGCAACTAAAACAATCCGGTAAGTTGTTTTATTATTTATTTTCGCATATTTAATACTGTAAAGTTAAGTAATATTAAGTGTTAATTATGTTATTTAAGAACAGAAAATCCCAGTTGAAACTATTAAATAAATTAACTTATACTGATTTCAGGATAAAAATGATAAAAAAAATTAAAAAATCAGAACATACATACTTAAAAAATTGAAAAGCTATTTTTTTTATGTAATGTCATGTATAATCACTTTCTTTATTTGAGCCAGTCTAATTGTCCTTCTGGTGTTTGGAAGTAATCTGCGAATTGGTTGCGTACATCAAAAGCCGAAGAAATTGCATTACCCCCTTGACGTCGCAGGTGGTTGAATTGTACAGGATTAGTTGTCTCCTGGAAGGTTATAGTTTCTCCGCGTCTTATATAATTATACAAAATACAAGTTGATAAAACAATCTTTTCCGCATACTCTGGCTTTAAATGCATCCGTCTATTATAAATCCGAAATTTTTGACTAATTCAAAGCATTTTCGACTACTCGCCGAGCTCGACAAAGGCGATAATTAAATTGGCGGTTTCTTAAGATCCGTTACTGATTGCTGTGATGGATAAGGTCTTAACAGATTGTTTTTTAAAGGAAAAGCTTCGTCTCCTAATATAACACATGGCATCTTGACCATCGACCCAGGAAGATTTTTATCATCGGGAATATTGAATTTATTTTTTAATATAGCTTGTCCCATTTTTGATTTCGACAAAATACCACGATCACTATCTTCATCGAAAGCGCCTACATTAACGGCAATGAAGTTATAATTCGCGTCAACCAAAGCCAAAAGTACTATCGAAAATGTCTTTTTATAATTAAAATATAGGGAACCACTATTTGGAGGTGCTAGAATCACAACATGTTTCCCGTCAAGAGCACCACAGCAATTGGGGAAATTCCACTTATTCCAAAATTCTTCAATATTTTTTTCCCATTGCTCTGTGATGGGCATGGGAATCATTTCTCGTAACATTGTGTCGAGTATAGCTTCACAAACTTCGATAACTGCACGTCTAACGGAGCTTATTCCCATACGAAAACTAAAAGCGATTGAAGTAAACGAATCACCAGTCGCTAAGTACCTGTAATGAGGATAGTATTATAACTAAATGAACACATTATGTATTTTTTTTAATTTTTAACAAATTTATTTTAACGCAAAATCAAAAATATTAACTGTCAAATAAAGGCCAGACAATATCTTGTTGCATTTGTTTATTCATTATATTTGGAGACTGTTCTAAAATGATCCGCACAATTTTGTAAAATTGGTGTTTTTATTTAAAACAAGTCCAGTGTAATGATATTATGCCATTAATTAATTTGAAAGTTTGTTTTACAGCTGTTGCTTGTAAACAAAGATGGCAAAGCCTGAGAGATGCGTACAGGAGAGCTGTAAATAAAAAAAAAGGAAAAAGCGGACAAGCAGCCAGAAATATTAAACCATGGAAATATGAAAATGAAATGGCGTTTGTGGCTCCCTTTTTTATGGAAAGAAAAACTCAAGGTTCCGTCGATATTATGATAAGCGATGATGAAATATCTGACAATGAAATATCACAATAGAAAGAACTACTATCAGAGAACGGGGACCATACGGATATGATACGCGGATGCTACGGTCACTATAACCGTTACAGATAGGTATCATACGCTGTTGATACGTTCTAGTGGGCATAGTAGACCGTATCGTGTTTTTTTTTTCGTTCCTGTTACGTTCATAGCACAGTCATGGTATGAAACGGTGTAATGGGCAGAGACCATAAGTCGTTGGTGAGCATAGTCACATCGTTTGGGGAAGATCATTTGTACAAGATAATTATGATTTTTTCATACCAGTAAAATTGTCCGTTGTAGTTTTCTAGACCAACATACTACATTCATCAAAAATAATCGACGTAAGATACCTCAACTCAGCAGATATAGGTAGCAACCATAGCCTAGTATTATGTAAAATAAGAATCATCATGAAGTACTGTACACCTTAGAGAGCGGCACCAACACAAACAAAAATTAGAGTCGAAGAACTAAATACGAAAACCCCATGGTTTAGAGAGAAAGTGAAGACAGAATGTGAAGAAACAAAGAAAGCCTTTTTATAATACAGAACACAACAAACACAACAGCCATATAACCACTATTAACGAATCAGAAATAAAACGAATACTTTAGTTAAACAAATAAAAAGGGAACACTGGCAGAGCTTCTCAAAACAGATATAACACTACTTCTACGAAACAGAAAGAAACATGGAGAATTATTAATTAATAAAAACGAAACACATTCAGAAGAAAGCATGAGCAGACTACTTTCAATCCCTACTTACTAAAGGTGGCGATAATAAACCTCCAAAACCAGAGGTTAGGAAGGAATATATATTGAGCAGAAAGAGGTAAAGGAAGCATTAAGAAAATAAAAAACACAAAATCACCAGGAGAGGACAAAATACCGAACGAACTCCTTAAGTGCGGAGGATCACATCTGACCAAACAACAATTAAAACTAATTAAAAAATAGAACAAAACAGAATTCCTCAAGAATGGAGATCAACCATCCTAATACCTCTCTTCAAAAAGGGAAACAAATCATACCCAAAAAATTACAGAGGAATTAATTTATTAAACACAACACTAAAAGTAACAACCAAAGTGATAACAAATAAACTGAATGAAATGATAACACTAGAAGAAGAGCAACACGGGTTTAGGTCGGGAAGATCACGCACCGACGCGATAGTTCAAGTGTGAGAGAAATCATTATAATATAACAAACCGGCATATCTATGTTTCGTGGACCTTAAGAAGGCATTTGACCGGGTCAATTAAAGGACGGTATCCACTTATTGTACGTAAGAGATACCTTTAGGAATTATCAAAACGATCGAAAATATCTACCAAAACAACACAATAAAAGTAAAAGTAGAAGAAGAACTAACTGACCTTATTAAGTCTGGTTATGGGATAAGACACGGAGATTTCCTGAGTCCTCTATTGTTCAACCTGATTATGGATGGAACAATAAAAAAAGTAAGAAGTAAAAAAGGATACCAAATGGGAGAAAAAAAAACTTAAAATAATCTGCTATGCAGACGACGCAATACTACTCTCTTAAAGTGAAGGTGATGTATAATAATTCAGAGTATATAAGGGGAAGTCTAGGGATGGCACAAATTTATACCAAACTGAGCGAGCTTAGGGTAAAATGGTTCGAGCCTGTTCAACGTTGAGACGCGATCACCCAATAAGAAGAATTGCTGGTTCACAAGTTTCTAGAAGCAGAAGAGAAAGGCTAAAAACACCTGGTGGATATGCTTAGACAGGATATGTCGGTAAAGGAAATTATTTTGTTGTACATTGTGGGTGTTTCCATTGTATATGCGATTGTGAGTTTTGTAAATTTTAATTTTTATGCTCATCTTGGATTTTTGTTCTCGATAGGGTCTTCTTGGTTCTTTCCGGGTGCCTGATTTATCATTCTTTCTTTCAATCGATATGTTTACTGCTCAATCGTCACTCCTAAATAGCAAAAACTTATTGTTCTAATTTTTTATTTTGTACTGTTAGATAATTTTCTACTTTGTTCCTTCATTCCTCCTCCTAGGTGTCATAAAAATATTATAATATTTTTAAATTTGCGATTAAGCAATTTTAACAAATATCACTTGAAATGACTAATTCTTCTTCTTCCTCTTTATAAGCAACTCTGCTTGTTCATTGGCGGATTAATACCTCTGTGGAAGGTTGTCACTCAATCTTTTACGGGGTTGTCCGATACTTCTTTTGTAGATTGGTGACTTAATCTCTTGCTATTTTGACAAGGATCTCCTCTCATTCTGCTTATGTAGTTATTCCATTATTTTTTTTTCTTTTTTTTTATCCATTCATTTATACACTGTACGTTATATTTTCTTCTAATGTCTTCACTGCTCTTTCGATCTCTCAGCGTATTTCCTGTAAATCTTCTCAGTACTCTCATCTCTTTCGTTTCCAGTAGCCTTTGCGTTGTAGCTGTGTCGAAGAATATGTCTGAAGAATATGTCATTATTGGTCTTACACTTGCTTTATAAATTCTTGACTTCATCTTAGTGTTAGTGTGTCTGTTTCGCGATATACACTAATGGCCAAAATTCTGGAAACTTTACAAAAATTATCGTTTTTTTAGCAAGACTCGTCTCATGATCATGATTTATATAGTTTACCATTACAATTACATTTTTATTTTATTGTTTTATATTCCTATATTATATTTCCTGTTTTATATTTCTATATTCCTTAATAAAATATGGAACTAGATTCAAGCGAAACGCCGAAAATCCGAGATTTGTGAATGGTAACATTGGCAATACTGTATTGCGTCAGGGTTTTGCTAGTCAGTCAACAACCCAACCGGAAGCGGTTTAGGTGGCCTTTAGTACAGTTTCGTGCGGCTTCCAGTGTTTATTAGTGACATCAGGTAGTTGTTACGAAGGTGATATTGTTTAATTGTCGGAGAGGAATTCATCAGCGTCGATTCAACGAAAATGGCAACCAGAAACCCAAAGCGTGTTGACTGGTCGCCAGGAAAGAGAGCCAAAGCAATTATCCTTCGAAAGAAGGTTACACTTATCAAGAAATAGCAAAAAAAATTGGCTGGTGGCGCCACAAAATCAGGTGTAATGAAAGTTTGCAAACGTGACGCAAATCAGCAGAAACCTAAAGTTAGTCACTACGATGTGCGTAGAATATGCCGACTTTCTTTAGAAGATCGTCGCAGATCCGCAAAAGATATTAACGGTATTGTCAAATCAACTGGATTACAAATATCGGACCGCACTATCAGAAGAAAGTTGTGTGAAAATAGATTGCGAGCACGAATTCCTAGAAAGAAGCCGTTCCTGAACAAAAAACAGAGCAAAAACGCATTGATTGAGCTTTGGCACACAGAGGGTAGACAGAAGAACAATGGAGTAAAGTAATTTGGAGTGATGAAACCAAAATCTCGATCTTTGGGAGTGACGGAGTGAAGTTTGTTCGCCGCCGACCGGGAGAAGACCTTTTGCCCCAGTGTACTACGGTCACTATGAAGCATCCTGTGAGTGTCATGGTATGGGCTTGCATGACCACTAATGGAGTTGGACGTTTAGCAGTAATAGAGGGCAGTATTAATGCAAAAAAAATATCAGGAAGAGATACTGCAAGCCAAACTGCTGCCGACTATCAGAGATTTGTTCGAAGGGGATGCCCAACAATGCATCTTCCAGCAGGATGGAGCGCCTTGTCATACGGCTAAGACTTCCATGGAATGGTTGAGAAACCATGATGTTACTGTTCTGCCTTGCCTGGAAATAGTCCCGATCTAAATCCAATAGAAAATTTATGGTCAAGGCTGAAAGTCTTAGTATCACGCCGAAACCCAAGCAACAAGAGAGAACTGATAGAAGCCATTATTCAAAACTGGTTTAGAGTTATTACACCAGAAGATTTGGCTCGTCTCGTCAACTCCATGCCTCGCAGAATTGAGTCTGTCCTAAAAAACAAAGGTTATCCTACCAAATACTAATTTTGTTGATAATAATCATTGTACCATTTTTTTTAAATATATTTACTAATAGCTAACGGCTGTTGTTTTATTTATTTTTTAAATTTTTAGAGGATTTTCCCCCTTAAATGTTAAATATTAAGTAGAAGCATAAAACGATGTAATAAAATTATAGATAAACTTATAAATAACATAAGTCTTGTGAAAAAGAGGAATGCTTATAACAAAACTAAAATTTTTGAAAAGTTTCCAGAATTTTGGCCACTAGTGTAGTGTTATTAAGGCATCCTGCCAGTCTATTTGCGTTTTGTACTTGATCTCTCACTTCTTTGTCTAGATCTCCATAGCTGGACAGTGTAATTCCCAGGTATTTTATTTCCATTACTTGTTCAATACTGATGTCACCAATTTCTAGTTTACATCTAGTTGGTTCTTTGACTACTATTGTTTTAGTTTTCTGAGATGAGATTGTCATATTAAATTCTTTTGCTCTTATGTTATATCTGTGGTCCAATCTTTGCAGACTACTAACAGAGTATTTTTATTTATTTATTTCCCATTCTGTATCCTCTTCCTTTCATCCATGATTCAATTGAAGAGCATGGGGTTCAATGAATCCCCTTGTCTTATTCCGCTGCCTATTTCTATAGGTTCTGTAAGTTGTCCATCTATTCTGACTTCCATTTTGTTGTTTTGGTAGATGTTTTCATGTTTTTATAATATTTAGGGGAACTTCTCTATTATATAGAAGAGTATATACAAAAATGTAGTTCACGAGGTAAAAAATGGAGTTCCCAGGACATTGTAGCAATCCAGATTCTAATCCAAATTCGGCTTCTCCGCTTATCATCATTTTTTCTCTTTTCCACACGGCATATCATCTCTTCAACAATACTTTTTAGAATTAAACGTTAAACGACACCCTACACGGACTCCAAATTTTATTTCGTCGATTGACATAATTACTATTGTGCAAACGACAACGACAAGTCGGAATTTAAAAGAATATCCCACTGTGCAAACTTAAAAATGAAACTGGTGTGCCAAAA